TGGGTTTGAAATCCCCTGTGCAGGCAGTGTGATATTGACAGTGACTGGGAACCTCTCCCGTCAGGACCTGATGACCAAGTGGGATCAGGCACTTGAATCTGAAAGCCCAGATCCTGCTTCAGGTCTGTCTTGCTGTTTGTGCTCTCAGTTCCCCTCTTTCACTTTGACGTTTTTTTCCACAGTCTTCGAGGGGTTTTTTGAAGTGGTTTCGCGCGTTTCACACTGATGTCTTATTTTGTTGTAAGTAATCACGTAAAGCTTCACTTGTCACTCCAGAAGTCAGTAATTTCTGTCAACAACCACTTTAAATTTGCTTTTATCACCCGATTCTGTTAAAGAGTGAAGAAAAAGCCATTTTAGTTCTGGTACCAGTTTTAGGGTGGGGGAAGCCAAACCAGAAAGAATGACAGTAACAACAACAGAAACCAACAAAAAAAAATCACATTATCATGGGTTTATTACAATCTTTTTAACCCCAGGGATAAGAAATGCCAGATCTGTAACAGAGAAGGCTGGATGAGCTCTTCTTGGAGCAAACACTGATGGGATTATTTCCAGTTTCTAGGTCCAGTTTTCATCCAAAGGCAGCAGCAGATTGGTGTTAAACCTTCCACCTTTTGAACAAGGGAACACAGCTCACAGGAGTGATGTTTGCTGGGTGCTCAGGGACACTTCAACTCCCAATTATTTTTGAGGGTCATAATGCTTTATCTCTTTAATCAATATCCCTTTATCTCCCTAAAACATATCTTGCTATGTCTCTAAATTATTCATGGCTCACTAGTGTTTGATATCCTGTGGGAATTGCCCAGCACTTTGTACAAACCATCCCTAGACACAGCTGGTGCTCATATGCCCCCCCGACATAGTTTCTGTAACATTCCAGGAGCTTTTCTTCCCATTTTCAATCACCTCTCCTTTCCCATCCATCATTTTGTGTTGACCACTGTTTTTCCTTCATGTTCAGGCCGGGAAGGATCTGTTTGTTCATCGCAGTCCCTCTGCACACAGCTTGGGCACTGTGGGCAGACAGGAGGGAGCAGATGCCATTGGGAAGCTGCCCAGCCCTGCCCTGAGGGACACAGGGACCAGCAGTGCACATGGTCAGTGGCTGGTCACCCCTCCCTGGGGTTGGAAAGGGGAGTGTCACTGTCACTGTCACTGTCCCTGCCAGCCTGACCCCTCCCCACTGCCATCTCCAGGTGTGTTTCCCTCCTCACACCTCAATTTCTGGGCTCCAGGATGAGGGAGCTGCTCTCATGGAAGAGAATCATACAGTTATTTAGGTTGGAAAAGACCTCCAAAGCCACCAAGCCCAACCTGTCACCCATCCCCACCTTCCCAACCAGACCACAGCACTGAATGCCACATCCAAGTCATTCCCTGAACACTTCCAGGGATGGGAACTCCAGCACCTCCCTGGGTAGCCCCTTCCAAGCCTGACCACCCTGCCCATGAAGAAATTCTCATTGATGTCCAACTGTCCAGTGCAGGGCAGATGCCAATTTGGTAAATCTTTTCTTTTTCCTCAAAAAAAGAACTGGAGAGCCAGACCATCACCTAGGACATGATGTGGGCACAAAGCAGGTGAATTCCTCGTGACATTGGGTGTGCCTTTCTCTGCTGTGGCTGACACCATGGGCAGCTGTGCATCCCAATCTGAGCCTGGTGCTGCACAGATTGCTTCCTCCCTCTGGGAGATAAGGATCTGTTAATAACCTGGTGGTGAGATCACAATCATGAGACATTTCTACACCTGCTCAAAGAACTCGGCTGGGTGAAGAATCCCAGCTTGGTGCCACTCTTAAGGTCAGAAATTTACTCACGATTTCACTTCTGCTATTTTATATTTGCCTGAGGAACAACAACGTCAGCACCCCCCTGGAACGACCCTGCTGACTTCCACCACAAACCCCCCTGGATGTCCCCAGAACGTCAGAGGAGGGGCAAGGCCAGAGCTGGGACATCCCAGGCACCTCGGGTTGGCGCTGCCAGGCAGAGGGAGCAGCAGGACAGACGTCAGGGTCCCTCCTGATGTCACTGCAAGGATGTGACTGAGAAGTACAGCTGGGAAAGGGCCACCCTGAACTCACCAAGGCTTCTGTCTGGGCACCCCTGGCTTCCTCCAGACACGGGGACAAACCTTCCCATGGCTCATGTCAGCCAGAGGGAGAAACCGGGCGACAGAGCTGGTGTGTCCATCTCATATTACATAGAGTAAAACTGGTGGAAAATATGAAAAAGTTTTGAATCCAGGATGTAAGAACATCCCATGCTGTGCTTCTCTCAGACTGAATTCCTTCTCCGTAGAAAAAGCCCTGAGTTCTGATTTCCAAGGTCCCCCAGCCTGCACGAGGCACCTGGGAACCCTCTCCTGGAGCTCTGGGGTCTTTCCCACCTCACAATGTCTGTGAGACTGTGTTGAATTCCTGGACATCCCACAGGAATTCCAGTTTTACACACAGGCAGGGGATGGGAAACCAGAGCTAACTTCCTTGTGATGTTCCTTTGCTGAGTGAGTTGCAATTTAACGTGAGGACAATTCAGGATTACACAGTTCAATTCAGTTCTACTCAATATTCCAGTTCAAGTGGAAGCAATGAGAACTGAACCAAAATCTCCCTGAGCAACTTCCTGTGGAATTTATCAGGGGCTGCATTCTCTTTGAGTTTATGGATGAAAGCTGGCTCCCAGCTCCAGCTGCAGCCTGGGCAGCAGGTTTAAATCACTGACATCACTCTCCTGGGTGCTGGAGGGGAGCAGAGGCACCCAGAGACTGGAATACCTGGCAATTTGATTCCTTTTATACAGTTAATTAACTTTGGAATAACAAAGAGGTTCTAGTGGCACAGTGCAATGGTTTTCATGGGCTCAGCTCAGGCCTGGCACTGTCTGAGTTTGGTCTGCCTGCTCACCCAGGATCACAGTTTTGTGAAAAGCAGCTCATGGGGCACCCAAGTTCAGGCAATGTGTCCAAGAGATGGAGTCACTCAGGCAATAGGCTGAAAATATACACAATCAAATTAAGCAAATATTTAATAAATGTACTGAGAACCCTCTGGGTGTAAAACCTGACTGTACAAGAGGTTCGGTGTCATACACAAATTGTTTATTTTAAATATTCCCATTTTAAATATTCCCATTTTAATTATTCCCATTCTTTTAAAGAAAAAACACCTTGCTGGAATGGGCTCTAACACCACAGAATTTGGCATGTACCAAAACTTTGAAGCTGAATCTTGGGACCACGTGCAGAAACCAAGCTGCCTCTCTCCCCCTTGGCTTCAGCCAGCATGGAAATGGGGATGGATGCACCAGAACTCTGCCTGCTGCCTCTCCCTGGAGCAGGGTGAGCACAGAGCACCCCGAGGGGCCCCTGCACATCCCAGGCAGAGCTGTGACCTGGTGTGAAGCCTCTGTTACACCCCTGGATTCCGGGTACTCTGCCGGTACCCAAGGGAAGTCTTTCATCTCAGGTCCTCCTTGGAGGAAGTGGTTATGAGATAAAGCTCTCGAGGCAGGGTACCTGCCTGCGTACCTGGTGAGCAAAGGCACACAGAGCAATAAATAGCTGCAGAGATGGGAGCAGCACCTGAGATAAGTGCTGGGTGAGATAAGTGCCGGGTGAGGTGCGGAGGAGTCGGTGCCGCGCGCTCAGAGAGCGCCGAGGAGAGGGAGGGTCACCTTGTGTGAGCAGAGTAAAACTGTCACAGCTCTCCTGCCCCCAAAAACCCCAAAATCCTCACCCTGAGTACCCCAGCAGCCTGTTCCCTCAGCGCTCCAGAATGGGCTCAGAACCACAGCAGCACTGGGAAGGGTTTGGAGTCGGGCTGGCACCATATCGAGGGAGGGTCTGAAACTGGATCTGAGTCTTCAAAAAGTACCTAAAACATCCCACAGAACCCTCAAAACTACCTTCAGCTTCAGATATATTTAATTTAGGCTGGGATTCCATCCTGTGGTGCCCTGTTTTTCCACCTGGCTGCAGTAACAGCACTGACATAGCCTAAGACAGAGAGGACAAGATGCCAAAGGCATCACTTCTAGGTGAGCCTGGCTCAGGAAAAAAGTGAGTTTGTGAGGAGCTGGAGACATTTCTGTCTGAGGAACAGCCCCTCTATCTGAGGGGTCTGTTCAAGAGCAGAACCCTCTTTGACTCCCAGCCAAACAAAACTGGGTTGGACAGGTAGATCCAAACAAAAAGCAAACACCAAACGAAAGCCACTGGTTTGCACTGGGGGAAGGCATGACACCGACAAAGTGCAGAACCTTCTGGGGAAGACAAAAATACCCAGAAAAAGAAAGGGGGGGAAGTCACTGAGCTGCTGACAGTGTAGGGAGGGAGAAGGGCAGTGAGCAACAGCTCATGGGCAGTCCTGTGTGCTGAGATTTTCATCCTGAACAGCCTTCCCAAAACAGGTCTGGCAGGTTGGGATGGGATGGGATGGGATGGGATGGGATGGGATGGGATGGGATGGGATGGGATGGGGTGGGATGGGATGGGATGGGATGGGATGGGATGGGATGGGATGGGATGGGATGGGATGGGATCCCCTGTTTCCTCCAGCACTGAGGACTCCACTGATGAAGCAGGATTTGCTGGGGTGAGGAGGTAAGAAAGATCCTCCTTCCCCTGTTTCCTTCACCACAGACCATTCCTCATGTGTCAGCCCAAAAGCAGAGCCCTCTCCACTTCCCCAAGTGTCAGTGACAGCTCTGGGTGTGCAGAGCACGCCGAGCAGCACCGGAGCACCTCCAGAGCTCAGCACAGCTCTGAGCACCAGAGGAGGAGGAGGAGGAGGAGGAGGAGGAAGAGGAGGAGGAGGAGGAGGGTCCACTGCATGCCAGTGACATCAGGGTGCCCGTGAGCTCTTCACGGGGGTGCAGGAAGTATAAATCAGAGTTCCCCGAGGAGGGTCCCTGGCAGGAGCAGGGCAGGCTGTGCTGCAGTGGGTGATGCTCTCCCTACCTCTGTGACTGGATCCTGCTGGAACCACACCATGGATGGGGGTGAGTACCTGGGCTGCAGCCTTGGGCTGTGCCTCCAGCTTTGTTAATGATGCCCGGTCCCTGTCCTGTGACACAGGAGTGCAGCACTTCTATTAGAGTACTTAAACAGTATAAAAGACTTTCACCTTCCTCATTTTTACTATTAAAAAAAAAAAAAAAAATCATAGTTCTGTTTTAGAAGCTCAAAAACCTCAAATCACTTCAGAAACAAACACAAAAAAAGAGGTTGGGAGGCAATTGGCAATTTTAAGGGGCCTTTTTGTTCCGAAACAAATGGAATCTTGCATAATTCACACCTTTTCTTCTGTGTTCTTAATTTAAAAAAATAAAGAGAGATATATATATAGAGAGAGAGAACACTCACCCTGGCAACATTTTAATTCAGTGAATCGATCAAGGAATTGGGAGGAAGAAGAGCTGAGTTTGTTCATTAGGTCCATCCAATCTTTTGCAAGTTATTTCTATTTTAAAATATCTGCAGGAGCACTGGGGGCAGCAGGATGCATTGGAGATGCAGGAGGTTCTGGAGATGGTCAGGGGGATGGATGCAAGAAGTTCTGGGGAATAAAGGAAGCTCTGGGGATGCTCCAGGGATGCAGGGTGCTCCAGAGATGGGGATGCAGGGAAAAGAGGGAGCAGGTCCCACCGGACCCTCCAGGCAGGATCAGGGTATGAGTTTAGGCAGTTTTCTTTCTCCTCAGAGCCTCTGGCAATCAATGGCTTAGGAAATTCCTGGATTTTGGAATGCCTGCATCCAAACAAACACCAAATTGGACCTGCTCACCACACATCATTCTTCTCGTTTAAACTTTTGGCCTCTGCATCATCCTGTGGGTGCATTGTGGGCTGCTTGCTCCAAGGGGTTCAGTGTCTGGGGGCAGCTCCTGGGAAAGGTCAATCAGGACAGGGAAAATAAAGAGTTAGTGAGAACCTGACCAGATTATGATAATGTTCCTGCTTTGGGTTTTTTGTTCTACTATTGTATTTCAGAGGAATATTTCATTTTCCTGGAAGATGCAACACCGTGGTGCTTTCTTTAAAACACACCTGGCTCACTTCTGCAGGAAATTTTTGACTTGCTTCTTTCTCCTTATCTTGTCTTTTGATTCACAGTTTCCTGAAAGGAGTGGAGGTCGATAATTATTAACTTTCTTCTGTGATAGAGCAGTGAACACATGAAATAAGAGCATGACGGGGTTTCACTGGCTCCTCTCACTCCTGAGATGACAGTGTCCTTCCTCTGCCAGTTGTGAGGAGGGGAAGGGGGAGAACAGGCTGCTAACTGCCAGTAGTCATTAGATCACTTAAGTATGATTAACTTTTCTCAGAAATATCTGGTTCTTCCCCCAAAAGCCTCCTGTACTGCTGGAGAAGGGGCACCAGAAGCTGGTACATGTATTACACACGGAGAGCAGGTTAATCACTGCCTACACGTGTGCTGAGACTTTGCAATTCCAGGTGGCCCAAAAACCTTCTTTCACCATGAGGGTTTGGCCAGAGCAGGTTTGCTCAGCTTTGCCAATGCTTCCTAAAGCATTCCCAGCTCCTGTTTTTCTGTCATGCATCTGATCCCTAAAGCATCCCCAGCTCCTTCTTTGCCCTCATGCATCCCTTGGCTCTATCAGCAGCCAGAGCCTCAGGAGCTGCCCTGCTCATTTGTGTGATCTCATTAATCGCCCTCAGGGCTGGGTCTCTCTCCTCTTCCAGGCAGATCTCCTGACACCGAATATTTCCACTGTCAGAGGCCTTTCTGGGTGCACCTGGTGGGATTCACTGCTCCTGCAGCTGCCCTTGCCTTGCTCACATTTAGGAGCTGATGCTGAGGGAGATCCAGATGAGCTGGGAGGGATCTGCCTGTCCAAAATTCACCCCCATTCTGCCACAGCAGTGTCCCCATGTGCCCACCCCAGGCACCTGAACTGGGGCTTAAAACCACCTGGTTCTTTCTCTTTGCTATTGAGAGAGCCAGAACAGCTCAGCAGCTGCCAAGGGATGAATCCCCCACCACCTTGGGCTTAGTCTGTGGAGGAAAATTGTAAAACTGAGGGGTTCCCATCCCCTGTCATGAACAGATCCCTTTTTTCCTTCTCTCCCATGGAGCAATTCCACTTTCCATCCATTTCCAGGTCCTTCAGGACAAGAATGGCCTCAAAGCAGCACCTCCTTCCTTCCCTCCCATGGAGCAATTGCACTTTCCATCCATTTCCAGGTTCTTCAGGACAGGAATGGCCTCAAAGCAGCTGAGACACACAGGGGGCTGCCACGGGGCTGTAGGGCCAGGCTGACTCATTGGCTGTGGTGGGGTTTTGGTGTATTTTTATAAATGAGGTTTCTAGTTCAACTGGCTGCAGGGACTTTTGAGAGGGTTTTTTTTTTTTTTCCCTCAATATTTTGAGGAACAAAACTTTTAGAAAGCTTGAAGAAAATACCCACAGCAGCCAACTGCCAGGAGGTGTAAAAAGGAAAGAAAAAGTAAAGAAATGCACCTAAAATGCCTGATAAGCTGCAGAGCAAGAATCCTGTCATGATAATTGCTTCTGCCCACTGCCCCAGACCACAGGACAAGTTGGGGAGATGCAAGTCCTGTCCAGTCTGACTGAAACCAGTGACACCAGCGTGCTGAAACTGGCACAGAGGGAGCAGGAGGCAGCAGGGCCTCTGTGCTTGTGCTTTTGCAAATGTGTAATCTGAGGTGGGGGCACAGAAGAGGGGCAGAAACAGCACAGGGCTCTCTTCATATTGAAAAGTCATTTGACATTTAAGACAGTTGAAACAGCAACTGAAAAAGTGGAGAAAAAAGAAACTTACGATGATCTTCAAAGGAATGATATCAGCTGAACTGTTTCAGGAGTTGGTTGAGTCACGTTCTCGGTCCTGTTTTTCTAGACCTTCACAGGGTGATAAGAAAACAGAGCAGAGCAAAGGAGCCCTCACCAGGGCTGGGGCTGGGTCAGATGAAGTCAGGGCTGGACCTGGAGTTTGCAAACCAAGCCACAGAGAGAGGATGGAGTCTGGTTTACATGGATGCTTTTCCTTCATGGGATGAGGGTGGTTCTTCTCTGCCTCTCATCCAGCAGCCACAGGGGCAATTTCCTGCTGGGGCTGAGCTGCCAGCACAGGAACTCATCACCCATCCACAGGCAGCCAGGAGCACCAGCTCCAGCAGTGCCAGGGAAACCAGGCTGCTCAGAAGGTGCAGCACAATGCTGAAGGCTGCTGTGGTGTTTCCAGGGTCAGACACTCTGTATTCCAGGCAGGAAGGGCAGCCACAGCTTGCTTAAACCCACCTAGTGGGTCCCAGTCCTTGGGGCTTTTGGTGTATTTCCTGTATCATATGCAAAAGCCAGGGCAGCAGTTAGAGGGGTGACAACCACAGCAGACACCAAAGCTCTTCCTGCAGTCTGGGACTGATCAGAGGGAAAGGCCCTGGCTGGACAGAGCAGCCAGAGCCTCCCTTCACCCTCAGTCCCTGCCCTGCACTCCTGAGTCCCCCCAGGTTCCTCCTGAGCTCCCGTGGGAACCCCTCAGATACCCCCAGGAAGGTCTGGAGAAGGTGAGGGGAGGATGAACACAGCTGAGCACACAGCTGCAGGGGCATCAGAGATGAAAATAAGGGGGGAAGGTGAGACAGAGCTTCCAGGAGGCCTCAGGGGAGGTGCTCACACAGGCCTGGGGATGAGCACCACGAGTTTCCCACGTGGCTGAGGATCTCTCTGAGCCACACATCACCCTCAGGTGTCAAAAACATCCCCACTCACAGGTAACTCTGTCTGATATTAGTGAAGCTGTTGCATGTGACTTAACACAAGGGCTTGTAGTTGCCTGTAGTGGGAGTTCATCATCCTGGTGCAGTGCAACGTGAGCAGGAGCCTGGCACAAAACTGCAACCAAGCAGGCACTGAGCACAGGAATCAGCCACACTCATGAGCAACCAGGCCGTGAGGAGCAAGGCAGAGTTCTAGGAGGAACAAGCCAAAGGTATCTCCTTGCTGAGCACCCCCAGAGCAGAAAACCCACAGGGAGTGAGGGGCTGCAGGGACCACCCAGTGCCTGGAGGGACATCCTGGGCCAAGGCACCCCTCAGGGAGGGACACATCTCCTCCTCACACCCGAGTGGAGCTCAGGGCTGTCTCACTGTCCCCTTCCAGCTGAGCAACTTTCAGCGGCAGCTGCTTGAGGTAGATGCTGGTAGGAGCTGTAAAACCAGTGAGGAGAAAGCTTTCCCTGGCCCCTGCCCTGCTAACCACAGCAGGAAGAGCTGCTCGGCTGAGATTGCTCTCACCACCACCATACCTGGCTCTAAATTCAGCTTTTCCTCCCAGCTGTCAGCATCCTGTATTTTCTCATCCCAAGGCAGCAGAAGCCAACTCTTGACATTTAGAGACAAGCAATAAATTTCAGCCAGCTCCAGTTCTATCTGTCCCAGGGGAGCTGAGCTCTCCTCTCCACAGCCCAGGCACCACACGGGCACAGCTGGGCCGGATTTATGGCCCTCACAGTTGGGTATTTTCACATGGATTGAGCTGCACCCTCACTGCTCAGACACCAGGGAACAGGCTGCTGGCTGCCTGCAGGGAAAAAATAATGGAAAAAATCAAAATGGGTGCACTGTGCCCAAGTTTAGAGTCCTCAGCTCTCAGCTTTCACTGCACAGGGTCCTGAAGACATCCCTGCTCACTGCAGGGGGTTGGACTGAATGACATTTAGAGACCCTTTCCAACCCAAACTGTTCCATGAATCCATGAAGCCAGAGGGACCAAACTCCTGAGACTCCACCATGCTCTGACAGCAACGCTCATGACCCTGGGTTATCTTGCTGGCATCTTCCCCAGGCTCTGGTTTCCTCAGTGGTGAGGGTTCTGCAGGGTTCACAGCGCCATGGACAGCATTACCCACTGCTTTTTCAAAGTAAGAACCATGTGGAAACCCCCAGTCAGCCACTAACACAGCATCTCCTTCTTCCCTAGGCAAGCAGCTAAAGGTCACCCTTGTTTTCAGCCTGCCACTCGTTTTTCAGGTAAGATGTTTTCAACAACATTGTTGAAATCCAGCTGGTTTGGTGCTGTGGGTAAAGGGAGATCTCAAAAACTCAGAGCAGCCACCCACAGTCCCAGAAATGTGTGGGGACACAGCTGCTCACCCCAGGATCCAGCTGTGGGAGGTGGGAGGTGAGAGCAGAGCCCAGCTACAGAAAAACAAACACGAGAAACAAAACCAAGCAGAGAAAAATGGTGGGAAACGCAGTTTTTCAGATATCCTGGGCTGTGTGAGTCCACTCTTAACCCCAAAATGAGCATTTCCAGGACAGATAGGAGCGCACCACATTGATTGCAGGGACCAGATAATTCCTGCTCCCTGCAAATTCCTGGTCAAGGTGCTGGCTCTGACCAAACCCAGAGCTGAGAGGGATGGGCCTGAGGAGGAAGAGCTCAGCATCCTGCCCTGCCTGGTGCTCAGAGTGCCCTGGCCCAGCAAGGAGGACCCCAAACACAGAGCTGTGCCACGATCTGCTCCCAAACCCAGGGGCTGGTCCTGGTGTCCTTGGTCCTTTGGCTGCAGTGGCCACCTCCCAGCCCGTGGGGCTCTCTGGAGCAGAGCAGAGCAGCCCCTGCTTTTCCCTTTCACTGCTGGCAGCCTGGCAGGATGTGGTGAAAGCCAAACCTGCCGAGATGGAGAGAACCGAGATGCTCTCCGATAAAGGGTGGGGGTATCCAGGGGAAACCTTTCATGTCTGTGAGATGGGGAGAAGGTTCTGGAGACTAATAAGTCACAAAAGCAGGGCACGGATACCGCAGGCTCTGTCTGCCCCACAGGTTATGGCAGTGTAGGAAGATGAAACGAGGATAATCAGAACTGAAATCGGGGGCCTGAATGAGATGCTGGCCCGACACGGAAGCAGCTTCCTGCTGCACTCACTGCATTTCCTCACGTTCTCACAGGCACCTCCGCTGATTTTTAATTTAGCTCAAGGATGTTTTATTTCTCACATTTTATCTAACAGCCGGCTGTGCGCACACAGCTGGAGGTGGGTCATGGAACACTCTGGAAAGCTGCCACACATCTGAGGGCTTGCAGATGTTACTTTGGCCGAGCACGAAACATTTCTGGTGGAATTCCCACTTGGAGCCCCCCAAAAAGCCCCAGACCTCACATATTTATGGGAAACACTTTCAGCCACGAGGTTGTGTCAGCTCTGTTTGTGCTGTTGGCCTGAGACAGCACTTGGGAACTCCCTGGGACTTCTCTCCAGGCTCCTTTCCTTGCACAGCCACACCGCCAACACAGCCCTTGTCCCAACACACTCTTCTTCTTTTTCCTCTTCTAGTTCTGCACTGGGGACAATGTCACTGATTACTATGACTCCAACAGCACCATTGACTACAGCATGTTCGAGTCCCTGTGTGAGAAGGAGGAGGTCCGAAACTTCCGTGCTGCCTTCCTCCCGGCCATGTACAGCCTCATCTGCTTCACTGGGCTGCTGGGCAACGGGCTGGTCATGCTCACCTACATCTACTTCAAGAGGCTGAAGACCATGACAGACATCTACTTGCTGAACCTGGCTGTGGCAGACATCCTCTTCCTGCTGACCCTTCCCTTCTGGGCCGCGAGCGCGGCCACACATTGGCTTTTTGGGCCTGTTGCCTGCAAAGCTGTCTACTGCATCTGCAAAATGAGTTTCTTCAGTGGGATGCTGCTCCTGCTGTCCATCAGCATTGACAGGTACTTTGCCATTGTCCAGGCAGCCTCAGCCCATCGCCTGCGGCCCCGGATGATCTTCATCAGCAAGGTGACCTGCTTCCTCATCTGGCTCCTGGCCTTCATCCTGTCCATCCCTGAGCTGGTTCACAGTGGTGTGAACAACTCAGAGAGCAGCCCCCGTTGTTCCATCATTGCTGATGACTTGCAGACCTTCAACACTGGCATCAAAGTGTCCCAAATGGTGTTTGGCTTCTTAATTCCCCTCCTGGTCATGTCTTTCTGCTACCTCATCATCATCAAAACGTTGCTCCAGGCCCGCAACTTTGAGAAGAACAAAGCCATCAAGGTCATCATCGCCGTGGTCATCGTCTTTGTCGTCTTCCAGCTGCCTTACAACGGCGTCATGCTGGCCAAGACCATCTCAGCCTTCAACCAGACCAGCTCGTGTGAGGAGAGCAAGAAGCTGGACGTGGCAGATGACGTGACCTACACCCTGGCCTGCTTCCGATGCTGCCTCAACCCGTTCCTCTACGCCTTCATCGGCGTCAAATTCCGCACCGACCTCTTCAAGCTGCTGAAGGAGCTGGGCTGCCTGAGCCAGGAGCGCCTCTGGCAGCTCACCTCGTGCCGTGACAACAAGAGGAGCTCCTTCGCCATGGAGACAGAGACAACCACCACCTTCTCCCCGTGAGCCCAGCTCCAGGCACGCCTTGGTGGAGCTTGAAATGGTTTCGGACGTTTTCTGGACTCCTGGCAGAGCAAGACCTGCCACACTGCAGAGAAGGGGGAAATGCAGGAGCCTCCTCCTGTTTCAAGCAGCAAGGGCTGCTGGCCAATGTACCATGGGTGGAGAGACTTCACAACAGAGCTGTCACTAACAGCAAAGCAAGGGAGAGGTGGTGAGTCTGCAATTCCTCCTGTCATTTCACCTTCAGCTTAGTCTTTCCCTGTCAAAATGAGAAACGCTCAAAATAGAACATTTTCCCTAAAAGCGACAAGTACCAAGAGAAAACAGACGTTGGTGCAGCAGAACTGCCTGGGAGCATCAGCCTTGCTTTCGATGCTGATTTTAACAAGACAACAACTCTGCAACCCCACAGAAATGCCCTTGCACTGAGTCAGTCTGAGGCCAACCCGCACCCGCAGCCTCGGGCTCGATCCAGCCCCAGCTGTGGAGTATCCGAGCACACAACTGCTCTGCCTCCCCCCATGAAATGTGAGACATGACCACAGCTAATGCAAAATCCATACAAACTCAAGCCATAATTTCAATTACTTTTTATAACATTGTAGCCACTCGTAGCTCTGTCAGGAAAAGTACAAATTCTACTTTACTTCTGCCTGTATCCTGTTTCTGGGCTATCACCTGCTGACCTTGAGATAAATATGAATGTGGGTTTTTTCTTCCCTTCCCAGCCATTCTAGCAGGACTTCAGCTGCCTTTGAAGTCAGATCTGTATTTCACTCATAAGCTACTGGGGCGTGTTTTGCATCGGTGCTGTCGGCACCAACAAAGACACCGCTGGCTGAGGTTTGATCTGAGCACTGTTCCACCTCTGCCAGGGCCACAAACAGCAGATTATTGTCATGGAAAATCAGACCTTGGAGGAGCCCAGACTGTAATTCCAGTGGGTGCTTTCACAGGAAGAGCAAAGATTCCTGATGACAGATGAATGCTCTGGGAAGTGCTGAACGTCAGCTGGGAGGAGCTGCTGCACAGCCTGGGCAGCTGTCCCTGTCCTGTGCTCCTGTCCCTGTCCCTGTCCTGTGCTCCTGTCCCTGTCCTTGTCCTGTGCTCCTGTCCCTGTCCTTGTGCTCCTGTCCCTGTCCTGTGCTCCTGTCCCTGTCCTTGTGCTCCTGTCCCTGTCCCTGCCCTTGCCCTGTGCAGCTATCCCTGTCCTTGTTCTTGTCCTGTGCTCCTGTCCCTGTCCTTGTCCTGTGCTCCTGTCCCTGTCCTTGTGCTCCTGTCCCTGTCCTTGTCCTGTGCTCCTGTCCCTGTCCTTGTGCTCCTGTCCCTGTCCTTGCCCTGTGCTGCTGTCCCTGTCCTGTGCTCCTGTCCCTGTCCTTGTGCTCCTGTCCCTGTTCTTGTCCTGTGCTCCTGCCCCTGTCCTTGTCCTGTGCTCCTGTCCCTGTCCTTGCCCTGTGCTGCTGTCCCTGTCCTGTGCTCCTGTCCCACAGCACCCAGCTCTCCCAGAGCCATCACCAGTGCAGAGAGGTCTCAGCCTGGAGCTGCTCCCAGGGCTGCCAGGGGAGACATGTCCATGTTCCCCTGAGCACACAGAGCCCTGAGCAGCAAAACACTCACCAAACAGACATTTATCCTGTTTTTCAAAGCCTGGATCCACCAGGAGCGACACAGAGAACTCTCTGGTTCAAGGGTTGGAGAGCACTGCTTTAGAGAATTGAGGATTAAACTTCCAAGGCAGAATTCACTGTCTGGGTTTGAGACAGCAGTGGCTGTCACCAAATCTAAATAAACTCTCCATAAACCATTTACCTCTGGTGCATGGGATTTTTGTCAAGGGCTGAGATTCGGGAAGAGAGGATTCTGCTTTGTGTTACCTATCTGTGCTCAACTGTTGAACTCATTTTCATTTACAGTGCCCAGGTAACTGTACAAAGTACTGGTTCTCTGTCACATGAAACAGGGGATGACAACTGACACTGAACAGCTATTTGCCCTTGGTTTCTTTCTCATCCTTATTTGGGGATGACACAGCTATCATGATCTTGGCCAGAGCCAGGGACACCCCCAGCACAAGGTATTTGCAGTTTTCCTCATCAGTAACAATATATTTTGTTAATGTATATTCAATATGTAAAGCTGCTTTATACAAAGTTCAGTCTGTTCATGAATGTACCCCAAGAACACTTTTCATGCAGAACCAGTCACCTCATTCCAGGCAGGAAACTGCTCCACCAGCACATGGAGCTCTACTTGTGTCCTGTAGACAAAACCTGATAAAACCCATTCCCCTCCTGCAAATGAAGAAGTCTTCAGGTCCTTACAGACCAGATGAATTCCAAATAGGATCACACACAGCTGCCTCAGTAAGGCAGGGCTGATGTCAGTGCCTGGCTTTCCCTGGTTAAATTTAACAGAACAAATTTGCATCTAATTTAGATGAGTCATGTTAATGTTTGCCTAAGATTCCAACCTGAAGTGACCAAAAACTGACTGTATTTTGCTACTTGAGAAAAATAAATTATAGCCATTTAAACAAAATACTTCTGGTTTTCCATTGCATTTTCTCCATCCCTGTCCAGTCCTTGTCAATCCCTTTGTCCTCTCAGGAGCTGTTTGATCAGCTCAGCTCCATACCAGTGCTGCCCTGCAGGAAAGAGAGCGTGGAAAATAAACTAAATAGAAAAATGTTGGTTTACTTCATCTGCTGATGGATTATAAAAGAAACAAGTCAGCAGCATGTTAAGGAGATTTTATTTTAACTATTAACCCACCTGTCTTGATGCTGCTCCACAGCTGGATGTACCTAATGGCCACTCACCAACCTTTGAGTGAAAATTCTTTGAGCTGTAGTATTTTATTGTTCACATTTGATTAAAATTCAGTAATAAACCACTATGCTGCTGTGGGAATTGGTCACAGTAATTGAGTAACTGGGAGAGGCAGCAGCTCTGGGCACTATAACCCCCAGCCACATCCAGGGTGAGAGCAGGAACTGCAAGTAAAACAATGAACACAGAGCTCCTGCCTGGCCTCCCCGGTTAATTTGTGCCTCAAAACACACAGGGGGGAGCGAGGGGGGACCCATATCCTTCACAAAAAGTGCCTTGTAATTGTAACCACGGAATCAAAGAGGAAGAAACTCAAAGCGCACGAGGAGACAGAAGCCTGACACCGAGTGCCGGAGCCAGGGCTCATTTCTGCTTTCAGTGAGTGATGAAAGTCTCACGTTTTCCCCCAGAAGAGAAAGGACAGGGTGAGTTTCAGCATCTGGCCCAGAGACTCGAGAAGCATCTCAACAGCAGCACAACACAGCTTAAGATGCAGAACCTCAAACCCAGGGATCCTTAAATAAACAGCGGGTCTCACCACAGCGAGGTCCTCAGAGCCCCAAGAGCTCATTTGTGCACAAGGCTGAGCAGTTTTAGAGCAAGAACTGGGGATCTGCAGAGAGCCACAGCACTTTTAACCATTCCCCCTGCTCCTCTGAAGTGACTGTGAGCCAAATTCTTAACGTTCAGGAACTTTCTTGATGAAGAAAACAGACTCTACCTTAAAGCCTTAATTTAACCAGTAAAATTTACCCACCAAGCAACCACACAAAATCACAACTTGGGTCACAGATACTGCAGCCAAGTCACACAGAACCTGTTACCAAAAAGAAGAGTGTAATTCTCGGATGGATTTAACCTATTTTAGTGCCTTTCTCCAGCAAGAGCTGCCTATTTCCTTCCACAGATCCCAATCTTCTTTAAAAAGCCAATAAAAAAACCTGGCCCTCATTAGAGAAGGGGAAAGTTCTCCAGGCAGGGCTGTGGTTTCTCATGTGCCACCTGGGCAGCTGCGTGAGGGAAGTCCTTGTCACCCTAAAAAAGAATGAGCTGGAACCCAGTGAGGTAAACAAACCCTAAAAATAATGCCCGTGGGTGATGGGGAAGGGTGGGGGCACATTGCACCAGCCAGAACAGCTGAGAGAGGCCATGGCTTCCTCCTCACGCCTCCTTTTGAAGGGAAAAAAACCCCAAACTCCTGTCCTGGGGGTGGAGGTGTCACATCTCAGGGGAGAACTTCTTGCACAGCCAACTGTCCTTGGCCTGGGGCCACCTCCCCCAGGGGCACTGTGGGGTTTTATCCATCCCTGGGCCACTGTAAGAGAGATCTGGGGAAATTGGGACAGCTGAGACGTCACCTGCCCTTTGTTGGTGTCATACAAGCAGCTTCATGACCTCAAAACAAAGAGTGTGACCAGGATTTTTTATGGATTAGAAGGTGGCAGGATCAGCTCAGAGCCAACAGCTGGCACCAAGAAGAGGACAAGATGCAGTAGAGATATAAGGAAAAATAACCAGATAAACAGCAATGACAGCAGCACAATCCACTGCTATTGGGGGTTGTGTCCTCAGCCCTCCTCCTCACTGAGCCCAGCCCATCCTGCTCCTTCCCCAAGCCCTAAAACCAGGCAAATATCCCTGGCTCTGTGCTCATCCCACATGTGGGAGCCCTCACAGCCTCTGGCTGAAACGAGCACAATTTCACACGTTCAGATTGAGCAGAAATCAGCAACTTTCAAGTCCAGCTGTGGCAGCCACCGACCCGCCCAAAATGAAAGTTATTTTTTTTCACTTTCACTAAGACCCCAGCTCTGCAGAGCTGAGTATTGATATTAAACCAGCAGAGACTCAGGTGCTGATGTTCAATCACTGCCCCAGCTTGTTGTACAAACCTCATTCAGGTCTGAACACATAAGGAGCCCTCTGGCTCCACGTGCAGGGCAGCTGCAGAGCCAGCCCAGGCATTTGTCACTGCTGAGCCCCTCATGTGCAGGAACTGAAACTTCCCTTCCTGCTGCTTTGTTTTTAATTCAATTGTCTTAAAAAAAAATAAAATAACAAGCTAGTTTCCTTTCTGTGCTGCTGAGGGCTGGCACAAAAATTATTGTCAAGTGATCAGGGGCTTTATTGGGAAATTTCTGTGACTGAAGGACAACACTGATGCCCAGAATTATC